GAACATCAAAATACAATAAAATAAATATAAATAAATAAAATAAATAAAATATAAATAAATAAAATAAATATAAATAAATAAAATAAATAAAATATAAATAAATAAAATAAATATAAATAAATATAAATAAATAAAATAAAGCAGAATCAAGGAGCTCCGGTTGGTGTTGATAATTATTGATTATATTAATGAGCTGATGAAGGACACAGTAACTGAGTAACTGTTTAATACTCAGTTACTTTCCTCCACTGGTGTCTGTTACTGAATCTTCATCATCTTTTTATCCAACATGGCAGATATTCCCTCCTCTTCCTCTTCCTCTCTGAGGAAGGAGCCGTTAACAAACAGACAGATTAAAGCAACAGGTTCAGATTTAATGTTTATAAATCTGATTAACACACACACACACACACACACACACACACAGACACACACACACACACACACACACACAGACACACACACACACACAGACACACACACACACACAGACACACACACACACACACACACACACACAGACACACACAGACACACACAGACACACACACACACAGACACACACAACACACACACACACACACACACACACACAACACACACACACACACACACACACACACACACACACACACACACACACACACAGCCTCAGGCATCATTAGGGATTTTGGCACGTGGTCGTCTGTCCGTTAAGGGGGGGGTCCTCGCGCTGTTTGCAGGTAGGTGTGACCCCCCCCCCCCAATCCCGCCACATGTTCTCTCCTTTCACGCGCTGCTGTCAAACGACGTCATTAACATGACTTAAAAAAAGGCGAGGAGACGCGCATGCGCACACACGATATCAACTTTATAAAATTCCTTCATTTATATTCTATTGATCAGTTTATAATACTTTATTTAAAAAATCAGTTTCTGATGAGTTATAAAAACTTAAGGTGGATTAATTCCGATTATTCTCTTATATGTACACATTAAAGGTGGTTTATTATTTATTAAGATTCCACATATAGTTAATAAATATAAATAATAAAATATATAGTTTATATATAAAGTAGTTCAAATATAGCTTCACCTCCTACCACTATATTAAACTGTTGCATCAGTAATAATAATAATAATAATAATACAGTATTTATAATAATGCAACACTTTGAAAAAAGATGTTCAACATCATTTATTAGTTATTAGTCCGCCTCCTCTCGTCCTGGACTCGGTCCGCCCGTCGAGTGCTGATCCAGGATGTCGATGGAGCAGGTCTCAGTAAAGATGTGGACAGTCTCTGAGTCCCATTTCGTCTAAAAACTGGACATCAACCAGGAGCTTTGAGTCCAATCTGGGCCATCGTGGCTCCTACCGGGTCTCTTCCTCTCCTCTTGGGGCAGCAGCACCCGCCCAGGTGGAGCCGGTCCTATCGGGACCTCGATGCTGCTCAGACTCTGGCTCCAAATGACCGCAGTAGAGGGACATCACAGAAACCTCTCAGTCTTTATTAAACCCTTATTGTCATTTCACTTATTTATTTTAACTACTTTAATCTTAATTTCATCTCTTTTTATTCTGCTTTTTAGAATTCAACTGCGATTATCAATATATTTCATTATTTATCAGTTCCTATGCACATTAATGAAAGTTTTACTACTTTTGAAACACTTCTTTGGTCCAGAGTGAGTCAGTCTGCGGCCTCTTAACATCTAATCTGTGAAAACAGGATTATTAAAGACACTTAAACTTGTGCAAACAGCAGCATTTAACTCTTAATCTGGAAGATCTGCCTGTGGAAGCCTCTTAAAGCCCTCGGTGAGTGTCTGAAACACAGCTGGAAACCTCCCCGAGCTGCTTTCCTTCGGTCCCTGCAGGGTTTCAGGTGCTCTGGATGAGTCTGAAGCCTTTAATCTGTTTGCTTTCAGCAGGCTGAAGCTTCTTCAACCCGCTGCAGCAACAAACAGAAACGGTTCTGGTTCAGTTCCTTTAAAGAGAGCAGGTTCCTCTTTGTTTTCTTCCCAAAATCCACTTTATGAGGTTGTAAGAAGGTTTTATAATCTGTAATTTATTTTCAATAAAGACTCCGGCAGCAGTGTTTTCACTTTACGTGCATTTGACTCAACTTTATTTATAAAACACCTTTCATACAAACAGCAAACAGACAACATAAAAACAATAAATACAATTTAAAATCAATAAATAGGCTAAATGTAAATATAGTTAATAAAAGATAAACTAATGATTAAAGATCCAGACATATATTCTTCTTCTTCTATTGCTTCTAGACCCCCTGGGGGCCCTAGGCAAGAAGGACCATGGGGCCCCCCAGAATCATGATGAATGAAGTCCAGCACTACGGATCAGTAAAGAGATCTTTTATTAAACAATTAACATATAAAATAAATAAGAAATAACAGAACTATATCTGAGTGCAAACTTTACAAACAATATATAAATAACAGAAAAACAAACAAACTGAAATGTGCAAAACTTTCAAAATGATAAAAACGCAACCAAGCAAGAAAACAAACAAACAAGGAATTGAAGTGGAAAGGAAGAACTAGTTGCTGTGACACCTTGGTCCTACATCCACAGTCCAATAATTCTTAAAACTGCTGCTTGCGGGCGTTGGCTTCTGCAAATGCAGCCACTGTATCTTCCATATCTAAAGACCTCCGAACATCGTTACAACATTAAGAAAAAAACATTTGTGTTGTCGTATTAAATCAGATAGATCCCATGATATGTTTTAAATGGGAGAGCAAGTCACTGTAATCTTAACTTTAAAAAGGAAACTAAATAAGTTCCTACTTTGATGTGTAGAGGTCTGCTGCTGCTGCTGTTGTTGTTGTTGTTGTTGTTGTTGTTGTGGGCCAAAAAACTTCAACAAAGCACGTTGAGGAAGAAAAAAGAAAAGAGCACATTGTATTTGGTTGGCTTGCGTAAAGTAAAGAACTGTGCATGCTACACAAACACAACATTTGAGATCTGTATGGAATAATTAATGAACATCCATTTGCAGTAACAACTTTAATGCTTCATGGTAACATTTTATTTAATGTAACATTTAGGCTATAGCAGAAACTGTATGGATATATAGGATAGGATATACTTTATTTATCCAGCAGCTCACATTTAAAAACATAATTCCAAATACAAATTAGCACCAGTTTAGACTTTAAACTGACAGCAGAACTGATGCTGGTATCAGTTTTAACATCTGACTACAAATGCTTTATTCTGGGAGAAATATCATTGGCACTGGCAGCAAAGGACTAACTTATTGTGTGGCTCTGATGTGTTTAGAAGAAAAAAACTTTACACTTTAATGTGCAGTTAACTTTTTTGGTGTTTGGTGGATGACTGGGAGTTTGGGATAAAGTGGCAGGCTGGCTGGCAGCACTACTTTTTTATAATGTAACACACATAGCTTACACATTCCCACTTACCACTGTCACCTTTTTCCTTTTCATCCTCTTCTTTCGCCCCTCTTCTAGGGGGCGGGGCTTATGAAAACACTGAAAGCACTGACAGTAAAAACAATGACCCGTATTTGTATTACATCAGAAGTTTGACTCCGTGTCCATCTGCAACCTCTTGGAATCGGTTTTGTTTCCTGGCAGAAGGTATTTTGGCGAACTGAACATCAGTCTGGTGACGATCCAGAGCCGCCAGTGGAGCCGAGGAAACCCTCCTGCTGCTCCTGTTCCCAAAGAGCCTCCAAAACCCAGAAGATCCAACATTTCCCATCATTCCCTCTGAACTCGTTTCCATAACCGGACCTCGATGTTTTTCAGAGGTGGTAATTGCGTCGACACCTTTCGTGGGATTTACAGACGAGTGGTGGAGGAGCAGGAATCCAGCAGAGAGGAGAACAAGAACAACAGATTTACAGGTTCAAGGCACCGCGGGGGGGGTTTCTGCTCTCAATCCAAAGAATGTGAAAGACTCCTGAGGCCTGATCCAGAACATATAGAGAGAAAACCTTCCTTTAAAACCTCTGTGACACACAGTTTGCAGGTAAAACAAGTTCAAGAACACAATTACCCAAAGAAGGAAGAGTAAATTGGATATTCGGCCATTAAAGTTGTTGTTTATTGAACGTTATTTGGCATTTGGATTTAGTTTGTCACGTACAGAATATTTTTAAACTGGGTTGTTTTCCTAAACGAGGGGAAACTCTGTTATAAACAGTCGCTGTTAACAGTGAAAGGAAAAGCAATAAATATAACTGTTAGGACTGAAAATCAAAGCTTCCACCGTTCGGAACCAAACTCCATTAAAAAAAAAAAAGCAGAATTTAAAAGAACAAGAAAAAACATTTGAGAAGATCCGTCTTTGGTGTTCAAAAAGCATAAAATCTGAATAAAATCTACAAAGGTTGTTTTTTTATTGAGGTGTCACAGATCCCACAGAGTGGAGAACAGACAGACAACAGACAAACAACAGACATCTCTTAGATATGCTATATGCTAGACAAGACATATATATGGTCACATCTTAAGTTAACTAACTAATCAATCGTTAGCTAGCTAGTTACCCTTTTACTACAGAAACTAAAAGCGAATATAAGACGTGACTGTTTTAAAATATCCCTTTTATCTTTTAATCGTCTTCTTTTCAGCACGGATTAGCTTAGCATGTAGCATATCTAAAGTACAGGAAAGGAGGGAGTTGACTGAGGTTCCAAAAAGGGGCGGGGCTTAGGAACGGGCCATCCCATAATGCAAGCAGTATGCATAAAGGGGTTTGTAGCATGGACGGATTCTGACAAGGTTCTTTGTCTCAATGTCCCTTTATGACCGTGAACCAGAGGTTGGACCAGGTCCCGAATACTCACCAGAGCACCGAGCGTGGATTCATCCGCCGCGGAAAATAGTTCCCAACGACTCCTGTTTGATAAAGACTACGGTGAGCAGCCGTTTCTAGGAGATCACTGAACCTTTTTATTTTTTTTTAATTAAACTATTTTGTTTGTTTTTCTTTTCGGGGCCACAAACAGGAAGTCAGACACATTGTTGATTTGGGTCGTTTGTTTTATGGGAGTTGTTGACAATAAGAAAAATGTAGAATAACATCAGACTGATACTTTAACCAACATGTGAAGTGGCTCAGCTGCCTTTACAGTCTTCATCGCGGCCGCAAGCCGAGCCGACTGCCCGTCAACGCCGCCGCCGCCGCACACTCAATAAACTCTTAAGTATACTATTTGTTGTTTATTTTGTATATAAACAATATTAATTATTCTAACACCATCTCCAGCAGCCCGTCTGCACAGTCCGACACACACACGAATAGAAAATAAAATAAAATACACATTCTGGTACAGGACAGAGCGCTCCGTCAGATCCTGCGAGTGGCGAGGTCCGCCTCCAGCCACCAACAACAAGAGTTTATCCTGACCTGGATCCTCTCTCTCATGGTTTTATTTCTATTTTTTAAACCAATCAGCAGCTTGAGACGCATCAGGTGACACCAAGATGACCATGGGAGGAGAGGGGGGGGGAGCCGCTCTCGTTGGTGCAGAGGCTCGGCGAATGTTCCAGCACCGCAGAGACGTGATTTGGTTGCTTGTGACGCTCAGCTGCAGCCCGCGGGTCTCCCCCCCCTCTGGCCTCTGGCTCCGCCCCTCGCCTCGACGCAGATGGAGAGCCGCGATTGGTGGAAGTGTGAGGAGGAAGGGTGGGCGGGGCTCACTGCTGCTTCGAGCGCCAGAACCGCGAGGCGATGGAGCCGAGAGAGAGTCCCTGTTTCTTCTGCTGGGCGAGCTCGGCCAGACGCTGCTCCTCCTCCTGGCGGACAAAACAAACGGGTCAAATCAGAGAAAATCCACACAATAAAACTCGAGGTGCGTTTGATTTCTCCTCCTAACCTGCGCCAGCTGAGCCTGTCTGCGTTTGAAGGCCTCGATGGGGTCGTCCTCCAGAGCGTAGTTCTCCAGCACCGAACGGACGTCGTCCACTCCGCTCAGAGCGATGGCTGAGGAGGACAAACAACAGCACAATAAACAACAACAACAACAGTTTATGTGCTTCGTCACAGGAAAACTCGCAAATTATTATTAAAAACACACAAAAAAAAAACCACATTATGTCGGATTCATGAAACTTCTGCAAAATGTGACATTTCTTAAAGGGAGTTTGGTGCAGGGACATTTTCAAACTGCTCATTTAAAATCAAATATCACAAAAACTAAAAACAAAAGGCCGGAGCGGACGGAGCGCCGAGCGGCTCGATTGGCGTCTTACTCTTGAGGAAGTTGGCGAGGTCGTAGAGCGTTCGGTCCTCCGAGTTCCCGTCCCATTTCTTCAGAGCCATGCCGTTGAAGGGCTGCAGGCTGAACGCCTCCCGCTTACAATCCACCACGATCACCTTACTGGTGTCCCGGTTCAGACACGACACGTCCTGAAGACACAAAACACAAAAACACCTCATTCAGTCCGGTTACTTTAAATCCTGCAGATCAATCCGCCCTCTGGTCTTAAACACACAGATAAATGAAATGAGAGGACACTTTGGGTTTGTTTGTTTTAGTCGTCCTCCGCCCAAGCATACGCTGCGGGACCCCCGTGACCTTCTTAAGCTTTAATCAAATAAGCAACTTTATTATCGTCTTAATGATCCTTAATATTCAAATTAACACACACACACACACACACACACACACACACACACACACACACACACACACTTTCTCTGGGAGCTCCAGCTGGTGACTGTAAGTGTGTGTGTGAGACAGATGGAGGGGGACGCTGGTCGTTGTCTCCATCACCAGGCTCATCTGGTGTGTGTCCCCCCCCACCCCCCACCCCCCACCAGCCACCCCCACAGAAACCTCCCAGCAGACACATTCGTCCATCCTCCTCACAACCAATGAATAAAAGGCATCTGTCTCTCATAGCTCACTGATAGAATTTAATTTAAAAATTGACAAACTGTACATTAATGGATCAATAAGATAAATAAGATGATGAATTAAAGGGACCGTCCTCGGAGGAGCGTTGCACCGAGCAGCTTCCAGAACAACAAACAAAGACACCTCCCAGGACAAACCAAAAGTGTCTCTGGGGAACACAGAAGTTTCTTTCGGGGAATGCAAAAAAGATTCTTGGTGGAACACAAATGTTCATGGGGGGGGGCAGTAAAACACAAAATTCCCCCCAAAACATCTATTTTTCTCTTGGTTGAACAAACTGCTTTAAACAGAAAGACACACCAGAGTTTGAGCAACAAGCTGAAGGTGTAAAACGAAGGGAAACTCACAGCAGCCTGTGGTGTGCTCATGTGCATCACCATGAGCTGAAATGAGTGAGCGACAACTCTTCATATAGCCCACCGTTAAAAAGTGTGAAACTTCCCGGAAAAGCCGCAGTGTTTACACATTCGCCCCCTCAGATAGACACATCCAGGCTACCGTAGCTCGACAACTCCTCCTGTCTATGTAAACGGCATGAAAAGAGACTAAAAAAAGAGCCCAGAAGTTTGTTCCAGGGCGGCGGTGGACACACACACACACACACACACACACACACACACACAGACACACACACACACACACACACACACACACACACACACACACACACACACACACACACACACACACACACACACACACACACACACACACCATCAATGAGAGGTCGCGGCCCGACGACTTCCACAGTGCCGCGCGGCTCACTCCGCTCTTTGTATGAAAATGCCACGCGTCAAATCTGCCCTGTGATGTTATTGGCAGGAGCCATCTGTGGCTGCAGGGTCTCGGCTCGGAGATTAGAAACAGAAATGACATCTACTGCTGTGAAGAACATCGACTGCTGTGAAGAGCAGACGCCGCAGACGTCACAGCGATTCACTGCAGCTCAACATTTTACATTAATGTGCCACTTCTCCTTAAAAATGTGAAATACAAGTCAGATATTTAACCAGTTAACCAAATATTATTATTTATCTGCATTAAACACTTTTCTCTGAGTGATTAGGAATACGTCTATATCATTTAACTCTGTCTTTATGTTCATTAAAGTCACATATTTTAGATCATTTACACACATTTTAGTTTATTAAAATACATTCTGATAACAAGGAAGTAACGAACTACAACTAATCACGTTACTGTAATTACGTCATCTTCTGGATACACTTTTCAAGCCTGTAAATTTACTTAAGTTCACATTTCTCTACGTAATCTACTTAAAAATGAACTTGTACTCTTTAGTTTTGTTTAAATTAAAGTAGTTTTACTTGTAGTTGAGTAATATCTCAGTAATCTAACAGCACAGGGGGTGCACCATTTATCCATTATCCAACCATGAGACCTGATGATGGTCACAGAACCGCATTAACCTCCGGAGGGTAAACCCTTGCGTGGACAGCAGGCCGCCGTAAAAACAACAAAGTTTAGCAAGAAGACAGTTAATCCAACTGTTGTGGTTCTTATCCAGCAGCCAACAAACAATAAGACGTCTGATCCATCTCGGGCCCGCAGCCGACGCTCAGATGCAGGGCAGCGAACAATAGCTGCTCAGGTTTAGACGAGCGTGAGGAAGGGTCAGCGCTGCGGCTGCGGAGGGAATTAATCTTATTTTATCTGTTTATGGTCGACGGGAGCGTTTCAGTGCAGCACAGAGCTGAAGAGTCCACCGCCGCCGCCGCTGTTACGCTTCTCTGCGTTTACTGTAATACACTAAAGCTGAGCGAGAGTCAGAAATGTTTCAGCTCGTTGTTACAGTAGTTAATGTTCCTGTTATTGATGTTTACTTTTAGGCTGTTCATTAATGTAACCCTCTTCTGAAATATGTAAGACGGCGTTGAAGTTTCATTGAGTTATAACGCAGCGCTGCAGCATCAGTGTCTGAGTCATTCAGGCTCCATCACTAAATTACATTTTTTGTTGGCATTCATTGAAGTTGCATTGAACAGCATCTGTCTGACGTTGCACTCAGTGTTTGGTGAGCAACATCAGAGGAAACTTTTACAGCAGTTTAATGATGTTTATTGATCTTACATTCACATCTTTTATGAACTTTTTAAGGTATAATTATTTCTTAAAATAAACAAATGAATTAAAATTGTTTAGTGCAAATTATTATCAAAACTAACAAATAATTACAGTTGCACACATTATTCAAACAAAATATTAAATATATTTAAATGTTTATTGTTCGTGGCCCCTGTCAAATACTTAAAAATAAGATTTATTACAGTATTTGTGTGCGAAACCCCTGAAATTGATCCGATATGTGTCTGCAGATTGTGCTTTTTTATCGCACTCATTTGCATTTGATTGTATCCGGATTAAAAACGGCAGAAAATGCGCATCAACAGACTCAATAAAAACAACATTTTTAATTTCACGGGGGGCAAATTAGGAACTTTCTCTCGACATACGCAGCGTTTGTAACTCTCCCTCAGCATATGGAGCTTTAATAACTCTCTCTTAGCATCTGTTGCATTCGGCGCTGTCTTGGCGTTATGGAGATGAGATGATAAGTGTGTCTTCTTTCTGGGAAGTAGGTTAACCAGCTCCTTACAACCTCCAGACTGTTCGTCAATAACACACAGCGAGAAAGAGAGGGAGAGAGAGATGACAGTTGGAGGGAGACAGAAGGAAGAGGAGGAGGGGGAGGAAGAAAGGAGGGGGGGGAGGGAGGGAGGGAAGAAACAAGAAGTAAAAGAAATGGAGCAAAGGAAATGAGAAGGAGAGTAGGAAGGAAGGGGTGAAGGAGGGTGAAAGGGAGGTGAGATAAGAGGAAGAGGGGAGAGAGGGAGGAGGCAGAGGGTTAATGAGGCCTGAGAGGGAGACAGAGGGGAGGAGGGAGGTCTATTGTGGCGAGGAGGAGGAGGAGGAGGAGGAGGAGGAGGAGGAGGAGGAATCAATGGCAGCAGCAGAAGGCAGAAACAGGCTGTTTGTTTCAGGTGTTTTCAACTTTAGAAACTTTTCTTGAAACGACTGAAAACCTGAATTCAATCTTTTTAGAAGAAGTTTTAATATTAAACTGTTCAGAGCTAATTGTTGAGGTCATAAAGAGTCTATTAAAGAGTCTATTATCAGGTTTTATACAGTTAATAATCACAATGTTCACTTTAACTGCTGCACAACATCCAACTGCAGGCAAAGAAATTACTGTTTGTGTTCATTTTTATCTTCTTTCATTTAATCTGTTATATGTGTTTATTAAGTCATATTTCTTTTACATGTTTCTTTATATATTCTTTAAAGTTGTTGATAATTTTCATAATTATTTTGTTTCTTTTTATTATAATTGTATTTCAATTTGTTTTATTTAATTTGGTTCACTGAGTCGAGAAGCTGAGGCAAAAACACTAGACGTGATTGTCCTTTAAACAGAAGACGATTCATCAGTTCTGCTGAAGACCTCTTCTGTTTAAAGCACACACACACACACACACACACACACACACAGACAGACAGACGACAGACAGACAGACGACAGACAGACAGACAGACAGACAGACAGACAGACAGACAGACACACAGACAGACAGACAGACAGACAGACAGACAGACAGACAGACAGACACTGTACCTTAACATGATGCCCCTCCATGTAGTGCGTTGCGTCTCTGAAGAGACGATACATGACGAAGCCCTGAGGGTCGATGCTGTCGATCAGAGGATACGCCGTCTGAGAGCAAATAATGATATATAATTTATATTGATTAATCAACTCACCTGTAATCAATAACTGAAGGTCTTCAGATCACATTTAGTAATTTATTTAAACATCTGGGTACTGACACGAGAACTTAATACCACAGCTGTAACAATGACCTTAAAAACAGGCTCAATTCTCAACTATTTTTAATTTTCATTGGATCTTCCTCACTTTCCCACTGTAGGTGCAGGTGCTGTATCCCAGTAGATTAGATATCAGATATAGCAGATATAATAGATATAATAGATGTTGGTGCATTTATTTAGTACTTTTTCATGCAAGAAGACCGACTGTTCTCTGATTGCAGCTTCTTCAATGTGAGAATCTGTTTCTGGATGAAGATGAAAACACAGGAGACCTTTTGTGCCAATCTTTGGTAGAGAGGGCAGAATAATAATCTATAATCTGTAATGTCTCATTAAATTAAATGTTTGGTTTGGTGTCTCGTAAAAAGAGTAAAGTAAATATCTGTAGGACTGTCAGTTACTGGAGATATACACATATTATTCCTTTACATTTTTCTATTTAATCATCTATTTCTGAATCTGAACTATTTGTACAAACATTGTTTTCCTCACTTTCATTCTTTAATGTTGTTGTAATCTGTTTTGGCCAATAAAACCTATTGAACTGATAAAAACAGCCCCAATAATAAATAAAAAGTAACTTAAAACTAATAGTCTGTTTGTTTGTTTGTGTGTTTTTGGCCTTCAGACGACTGCAGAGAGCCGACTGACGACTCTGTTAGCATCTCAAAGGACGGAGCAGAACCAGGAGCAGAGAACTATTTACTGTGAACACATAACGACAGAAACACAACACGTCGTTTAGCTTTTTGACCAGATTGAATGAGATTTAACACGTTAATCAGTGAGCTTTAAAAAGGTGCTGGTAGGTGATTTCAGTCTTTGTGCTAAGCTAACTGGCTGAAGCTTCATACTGAATGAACAACATTTAATAAGCTTGTTAATGTTAAATAATATTAAATGCTTTTGATCAGTGCTAACGATTGACAATCAGTCAGTTTCTTGATTAATCTATTAGTTTTTTGGTTTATAAAAATTACAGAAAATATCCTTAAATGTGAAATTTAAAACAGTTCAGTTTACTGTCAAAGACGACTAAACAAACCAGAAAATATTCACACATGAGAAGCTGAAATCACAGAATTTGCCATTTCTTTCTTTAACAAATGACAAAATGATTGATTATCAAACTAGATAACTAACTAATCAATAATCGACTGATTGCTGCAGCTCTACTTTTGATAAATTGATTAACAGTCGAGTGTAAGTGTCTGACTGAGCTCAGTTTTACCTTCAGTGACTCTGCAAACGTTTCTAAATTCAACTGGAATCTAAAATGGACCCTGGTTGGAACCGAGTGCTCATCAGGTTATTAATTAAAATCTTCTTCCTCCGGGCGGTAAACACCAGATCTGATCCGATCGAACAGCAGTCGCCTCACATCAGCATGACAGAGGAACCTCGGAGGGTTTATTTACTGATAAACAAATAGAGTGTGTGTGTGTGTGTGTGTGTGTGTGTGTGTGTTTTTTTGTGTGTGTGTGTGTGTGTGTGTGTGTGTGTGTGTGTGTGTGTCCTCACCATGCCGGTCTCCGCCGTGAAGATGACGATCTCGTAGAGCGGAGCGAGCTGCTGGAACAGGTAGTCGATGCCCGGACGCTTCTTAAACCTCCAACCCGTCGACAACTGGAAACACAGACGGTAAAATCTAAACCAGACAATAATAATAACAACAACAACAACAACAACAACAACAACTACTAAGCTGTGTTCAGCCTGCAGAATATTGATTATTATTATTATTAGTTTTATAGTAGATTATAGTAGTTTTATAGTAGATTAGATATCAGATATAGTAGATAGAGTAGAATATCTTTAGCAGCATGTTGTTGTATTGAGTTATTAAACTGCTGGTTGATGTTTTAAAGTGTTTCCAGGAGTTACAGGACAGCACTCGCTCACAAACGCCCATATAAGCTGCAGTTTGGGGGCAATTTAACGACATTCATTTGATTAACACACTATATTATTTTATAGAAAATGTATCTTCTAGAAAGTTAAATTGTTCCCTGCATGTAAAGTTAACATCACTGTTTATGTATCAACCACAGCAACAAGGTATTTGATTATTAATATGCTTGAGGAAAAGTTCAAATCGACCACAGAGCAACATTTTGTGCTTCTTCTTTAAATAAAGGCATCAATTTAAGCAGCAGTAGGATTTAAAAAGAATAATTATGGCCCAAACGATACCCGACCCTGATGATGAGTGATATTACACCACAGGATTTCTAACTAACTGTAGCTGTGGAAACTCACTGTGACTTAAAGTGTGAAACTGTGACTGAAAGTGTGAAAAGAAAATTAACATTTTGGTGAAATAAAACCTTTAAAAACCTTCAGGGGACAACAACAGGACACACTGGTGACTAAAGACTGAACATTTTTATCCGAGAGTTTATTTCTGTGCTGTAGACTTCAACCCTTTAAGATCACATCCTCAGTTATATTGTTCCCATATTTAACAATTTATGCTAAAATATGTCACAAAAACTCAGTTTCTTTGTATTTTCATATCAGAATCAAATCATTGATAATTGATGTGTGTTTGTAACTGATACAAACACACAACTTTATCAGTGATTTGGGTGAAACTGGATCATATTTCATGGAGAGAACATCGTCTGGTTCTCCCTCTGACGTCCCTCCACTACAGCGGGATACGTTTGACCCAGCAGTGAATGTTACAGGTGACTCATCTTCAGGATTTAGATTCAGAAGAACGAATTTAAAAGGTGAATAAAACCGATGAAACTGTCGACACGGACGCAGCAGAACAGCCTCTGTGTAGGTCTGACCCCGTTTGCTGCTCCGTTAGTTAAACACATACACACAGAGTCAACAACCTGAGGGCAGTGTGTGTGTGTGTGTGTATGTGTGTGTATATATATATAGAGTGCACAGACTGATGTTTAACACAGTGAAGTGTTTTCTTTCGTTTATGCTCAGATAATAATAATCTGCAGCTGTGATTACGGATATAAAATGTGTTAGTGACAGTTGAAGCAGTTACTGTGTGTGTGTGTGTGTGTGTGTGTGTGTGTGTGTGTGTGTCAGGAAGGAAGTGTGAAGTTGTGGTGGTTGTGGGGGGGGGAGTGGGTGGAGCGGGTGAAGTGACTTCTGTGTGTGTATATTTGACTGTTTTAACAAGCGGCAGGTATCGAGTTACGGCCGCTGCACACCTGTCAGGTAGGTGTGTCGGAGGTGTGTCCCACCACCTGTCCACACACACACACACACACACACACTCACACTCACACTCACACTCACACTCACACTCACACACTCACACTTCATATCCTCCACCTGTCCCATAAAAACCATTAACCCCCAAACTTAACCTCCACTCCTCCAACTGTTACTGTTTTTAGACGTTTTAATCAGCAGGTCTGTTTGTTTTGGAGAGTAACGTAAATTTATTTACTCCTTGTGTTTTACGTCTTCTCCATTTGATTCATGAAGAGTCTCAACTACCAACTTGCCTCTCTGGTAATTGAGGAAATGGGTCGGGAGCAGGGTTATTATAGTTCACTAAAACTAAAATAAAAACTGAAACTAGCTGTGCAAAAACTACAGTAGCTGAAACTATACTGTGGACAAACTAAAATAAAAAATACACAAGAAATATCTTTAGTTTTAGTCAAATTTGTCAACACAAAGTGTTTATTGGGACTGTGAGTCAAATGTTTGTATTGTAACAACTATTAAATACATTAAAAATCCTAAAACGGGGTCTGTCACTACGCTGACGTACCGACCACTCCGGGTGCAGCAGGACGTCGGTGAGCTCCAGCACCAGAGTGTACGGCGGCTGGTAGTACGGCTCCTTCAGAGGGTCGGGCAGCAGCTTCGGGCTCGTCGGCTCGATGATCATCTGTATCATCAACAGGGGACACACAGAGACAACAGGTCACCAAAGGTCTTTAACAATTACTGGTCAACGTCAACCTGATCAGACTTTAGAGACTAAACGTTAACAATGATCAATGATCGGCCTACTGTGCATATTTTTAAGTTTTCTTACACGCCTTAAAATCAAGAAGGTGTTGCATGAGGCCATGGCAACCTACAGTGCGCTACACAAACACTGAATGGCAGAAAGTTTGATCATTTTAAATAACTAATACAAGTAATCAATACATTTGTAGAGTGCTTCTGGATTGGTTCACATATTCCAGCTGTGCATCACGTCTCTTTTATACGTCACCGGTGCTGAAAACATTAAAAAGACTTCCACAAAAAGGATAAACCTGCGTCTCCTCCTCTGTCCTCCAGATCTCAGACCTTCAGACGGAGGGAGGATGAACTGATTTCCGGGCAGGAGGACGGAGGAGAGTAAAGCCCCTTCGCCTTTATAAATCAACACATTAACCCGTGAACACACAAACAACACCTTGCAGAGTCTGATGAGGAAGTCCGATAAAAAAAATCAGGAAGTTCTGGCTCCGGAAGGGAAAGTCCAGCCTACATACCTGAATATTTGATCAAAGACCCACTAGATGTTGTTTGTTTACAGGAGTGACAATCCGCTCATGTTACAACTCTAAAAAACCCCGAACAGGAAGATGGGATATGCCCTCATTAGCATATACCAACTGAATATAGATACATGAATGTTTTTATACACCACAACATCACTGTGAAATGCTGGAGGAAAAACCCAAAGCTCAACTATAATCCTTCATTCGGCTCCTTACTGCAGAAATCTCACATCATCGGTGTAGTTTCTCCTTTACAGACGTGTGTGTGGTGAGGAGTTTATTTAAGTGTCCGGTTCCATCGGAAGAGTGTGGTTTTCACAGTTAATGCTTTATTCATTACGTTACCGTTACTTCTGGTAAATCGAACGAGGAAAAAGTGCTGAACTTTGGGTTTTTGTGAATCAGTTTCTTTTAGTGTAACGACAGTAAAAGTGAAAGTAAGAAGCAGAAACAGAGCGAACGATCACAGCTCATATATTCAGTGATAATGTTTAAACCCACCTGTTTTGTTGTAATGTGGCTTTGAATGTGATCCTGTTTATTATTTATATTAGTTTTTAGCTTCATGTGAACCACGGCTCAAAAGTTTAGGGTGACAAAGAAATCTATTTTTTTTATAAACTAAGATTAGGGATGAGCGAGTAAACCAATATGTGTATTAGGGGCTGTAAATCGGAAAAAGATGCAATACGTGTCACGATACGGAGGTTACGTTCAGTATATTGTGACATGTTGCAATAATGTAAGCAACACGATGTTTGTTGAGTGTTTTTGAGAATCGACATCATGAAAACAAAAAAAGAGCTCAAAGGCCTGAAATTGATACGGTAAAAAGGTAAAAATATCAAATTGCGATGATGATTTACAATTTGTGGTTATGATTTCTGAATCACAATTTCCATTTTTACTGAAATAACTTAAACTCTTGATGAAGTGACATTTGTTGTGGTTTTCTTACATCTGATTTGTAGGTCAGGGAATCTTTTCTGAATAATTCATGAAAAAATTATTATTATCAAAGTATTTCTGATTCTGATTCTGAACTGCAGTGATTCATTAAAATGCCTAATAAGATTATTTATTGTTGTTGAATACTGAAATAACTCAAAGTTTTGGTCCTGACTGACACTTCGTTGACACACGTTTTTGATTCATTTGACCTCCGCCCCGTATCTAAACATCACGTTTATGCTCCTAACTTGTCATGGATGAATGTGTGCGCTACGTAACTGGCTGAGTTTTAAACTAAATATTACAGGAAATTCAAATTTAATTTAAATTACACTTCAGAGATCTCATAATTTAAATAGTATTTTCTGTTCTCTTGTATACTAGACTGTTAAATGACTGTAGCTGTTTGTAAATGGAATATCATCACAGACATACAGAAGCCTATTTTAAGCAACCATCCTGTGTTCCAGTGTCACACTGTCTTAGTTTATAGTATTTAAAGGCTAATTGATCATCAGAAAACAGCTAAATACTGTTGCTGATTAAATAAGTGATAAGATTACTTCATTGTATTCATGGTTGATTTATAGTCATAAAAGGACCAGGAAAAAAAAAACCTACTTCGGAAACATAAGTTTTTTTTTTGCATGGAACAGCAGTACTCAGAAAATAGGTCTCATATGAAACAGTTTCTACTACTGCCTTCACAGAACAGCACAAAAGCAGAAGTCAAGTACATCAGTTTCTAGCTTGAGAAACAGCCTCAACGGTCCTCAAATGACAGCTTCTTTAAATGGTTCCCAGAAAACACTCGTCTCAAAGTGAGCACTGAAAATCATTTCTTCTAACTTTATCAGTGTTTTCACTATATTTTCTATTCATTCTGCAACTTATATGATGATTCAAAGTGTGGTTCAATTTTTCACCTTTAACAAACAGTTCAGAATAAAACGACTGTAACTCGCTTTATTCTGAAGTCTGAATCTCTCAGTATTGTTGACTAGCAGATCTGACCTCCGCAATACAGCAACAGCGCAGACACATAACGGCGGCCAATGATGCATCTACACTTTTATAGCTATGGTCTCATAAGCCAGTTAGCAACAGCAAACGGGCTAAAAACAAACCTGGCTAAGCTCAGCTAAATTGTTACAAGTTAAAACCAAGCAGATCAAACAAACCAGCTGGTAACTGGAACCGGATGCGTTCGAAATATCTAAAGAACATAAAGGTTCAAGTCCACTCACCTGTCTGTAGTCCTTGAAATATTTGTAGGTTCTTTTCAACTGTTGGACGACTGGAGGATCTAAAAGAAAGAAAAAACTGTTAAAGACTTAATTCATCTAATTCACTTCAGTACATTTTACAGTGTTGTTGTTGATGAGAACAACAATAAAAAGGACCAGACAAAGAAATATTAGATCCCAGTCTAATAGAAGCAGAGGTGTGAGCACAGCTGTAGTCTTAATGGGTCATAAAAACTACAACTCCCTCAGGAGACAGTGTCACTAACAGCTGATAACATCTGAGCTGGTCCCCTCCATCCACGCCAACCACCCCCCATACGAGGACCCTCTCGCCCCTTTATACTGCGTCACCTGACGCCAGAGGGAAACCTACAGCTTTATATTTTGGCACGGAGGTCAGTCACAGCGTTTGGGGAGCAATAAATTGATAAGACTTTATGTTCTAAGTCTGTTTTTTTTAACATTTCTAAAAAACTAAAAGGTTATGAACTTCTTTTTAAAATAGAAAAAATGTGAAATTATCAGTTATCGTTATTGGACATGAGAAGCAGATAATCGATTATCGTATCGGCTGAAAACAACATCCATATCGTGCATCCCTATCAATTAACAGAGCACTGCGTTCACGTCAATGCTGTGCTACATTCCTGCTAATTAACAAGTCTTTGAACACAACACTTAATTCACAGTTCAAGGTTCCCACTCTGTTTAACAAATCAATTTCCAGGACCTTTCCAGGTTTTTCTTTACAATAACGGTCATAAAAGCTGCTGTTTTGGGCAAATTGACAACATTTACTATAGTTTTCCTCCAACGGTTTTATTTATAATTTCACAACAGCTCATCAGTAACAGTTCAAATCAAATAGAATCTATTTTATTAAGTTTTCCAGGACAACTTAGATTATTTCCAGAATATTTTGCTCACTTTAAATCAATTTCCAGGTGTTTCCATGACTGGAAAACTAAATTTCCAGGTTTTCCAGGGTTGCTTTGTGATGAGGAAAATGTCCAGTCGATTATCAGTCGTTTAGATTACTGTAATTCCTTTTTACTGGGAAACACAAGAAAACTACAGCTACAGTCTGAACTAAAACTAGGAGAATGGATCACATCATCCTCTGCTGAAGACGTTTCCTGCATCTTTCACAACTGACTGTAAAGTTATTTTACTAATAAAATAACAGAAAATAACTGATGGTTATAACGGTAATAAATACAGCAATGTCCTATAATTGCTTTTTAATGTTTTATTAAATGTAAAAACAATGAAATTATCTATAAATACAGACTTTGATACGCAGCAATAATACAAATCATCAGGCTTAAATTGATTTATTGTTGCTCAGTTTTGTTTTCATATGTTGTTTCAGTTTTGGGCTCCATCCTTGTATAAAAGATGCTCTATAAATAAAGTAAATAAACTAATATCAGACAATCAATCTAAAGAACAGGACACAATCAGACAATATCTACAATAACTGCGCCAAACATTCGAGATGCTCGCAGAGTGATCTGATTGGTCGGGATGCCGACAGGAGGAGTCACCTGGTTTGATCTCCAAACTCATCAATGAAGCAGCGACCTGCTGATGACGCTTCTGATATCACCTCCAGCTGTCAACACGCTAATGACTAATAATCATACAGACTGTATTTCCCATGGGGCCGAGGGGCTCATTACAGCAAATAGGAGCACAATAACAAGATAGACACACATGCGCGTGCCTCTCTCTCTCTAAACACACACGCTGAAGCTAGCACGCTCTGGTCCCGGGGGACTCAATACCCCAGAGTTCATAGCAGCGTGCTGAAGCAGGAAGCAGCAGCCATCTGCCAGAGTCCTGCTGTGACGACGCTTTCACATGTGTGGATGTGTATATATGTAAGTGTGTGTGGGCAGATGGGGGGTAAATAAAGATCAGGGGTGGGGCAAAGGTTAGGGAAGACGGATGTACACGGATAAATGTTACAGGTTGATATGTGAGTGTGGAAAATAAACAGATTCAACTGAGTGAAAGATGTGAAGATACAACTCTCGATACATTAAAGAGACACGAAGCAACGAACAAATCTTGTGCAATTCCACATGATATGAAAATAACAATTCAATGTGGTGCAGAGAGTTTGTTTCTTTGGTTCTTTTAAAGCGGCTTCAGAAACTGTTTATAGAGGAGGAATAAATTAAAATATTAAAGTATTGTCACATTTCTGAATAATTTAGGAACTCTACTAATAATTATATATAAATAAATCAGATTTTACTGTTGCAAAGATGTTAAAAATAGCATCTTAAACTTTTAATGCCTCTACACTGGGGATATCACAATACCACTACAATAAAACAATAAATCCCATGTACTTTAACATACACTCCTTTATTAAAAGTACAAAAAACATCAACAGCGGCCCTTTTTCTAATAGACTCTAATAGTCTTTTTATTTCCACTACTTAACTCAAACTGTTTTAATCTTAATTTTAATCTGCCGTGTGGGGGATGAGATTGGTTAATCGATTGCGGATACTCATACTGGGAGCGAGAGAAAGCACAAAACACAACGTTATGTGTAACGTGGGAAGCGCAAGAGTAATTTTGGTTCGTTATGAAACCGTGGTGGGACAAATTAGACCGTGGTGGGCCTCCACAGTCGATAATTAATGACAAAAGCTGCTTGTAATTGAATCCCTGTTAGCTACAGTACTGCCGAATAACGAGCACTGCATGTTATCCGAAGTTTGGTATCAATATCGCCAGTGAATCTTACCATTCCTATTATATGAGACCGGGGCTAGGCTAGTTAACTACTGACGTAGAGTTAGAGACGTTTCTTGATTTAAAATCAGGAAATACGACATCGAGCAGGACATTTTCGATACCCTGTGCCATGAAGACGTTGTAGTGAAGTTGTGAGGTTTGCTAACAATCACAAACACATTTTCTACACTTCATCAACCAAAACAAACCCACCAGGACTGAACAGGCTGTATATCAGGGTCCCTTATAAACAGAAGGTGGAGATGAAGTGGGGTGATAACACACACACACACACACACACACTGTGCATGTCACACACACACACAGTGTGGGAGTGTAAGCGTGGCTGTTGGGTAACTTGTCCCCTGGGAACGAACCAAACACACCCTATAATAGGAACGCTGAGCGTGTGTGTGGTATGCGGTATATACCGATGATGTCAGCCTCGTCAGTATGTGTGGATGCCTTCTGTGATGTTTGTGGGGCAGATTAAGGGAGGCTTTTATTATGTTAATTGATGGGGAATGGGGGGGGGGGGGTGGAGGAGAGGTGGTGGTGTTGGTGGGGGATGGAGGAGTGGAAGCGATGTCTCAGGGTGGATGAACAGAGGATGACAGGGAAAGGATGGAGAGGAGGAGGAATATTTGTCAACCTGTCAGCTTCCACTACTGAGTGGAGGAAGTCTGCCATGATTAAACTTTCAGCAGCCAAACAGGTTGTCAGGGCGGATCAGAGGCTCTTATTGTGGTAGGATAATCTGGGTTGATTTCCAGACTCAACTAGACTCAACTTTGTAGAAACATTTTGACCTGCACGTACCGATACTTGCTCATATTTATTGCTCCCTTGTACTCAGCTGGAATCATTTGTTCCAGTTCCAGCTTCTCAAATATGAGATTATTGTTTGCGTCTAATCTACGTATATTGTTTACGTCTTTTGTAATATTTAATTTAAACATCACCTTGGGCTCCATTTTATATGATTTTTGTCCCCATATCTTAAGGCCTACAATATTTCATTAAGATGGATTTTTATGGTTAAAATTAAATAATTCACATTCTTCTTACTAACTTAACTCTAACCTTAAAACTGGCACTTTCAAAAAAAACAATATCTGTATCTAAATAGCTATCCGTCTATCACCGTCTACAAACTTAATGTAGATTTCTAACGATATACCGCGAAACAGTTCAACAGTTACAAATAAGTAAGACTCAAATCGGTGAGATATCACCAGTGCAAAGACATCAGGTTCACTTTTACAAAGTAAAGGAAATATCCATTGTTTTGCACATTTTATACCGAGAATAGTTTGAGAAAGAAAAATGTAAGATTTTGGTCAGAGGAATCTTAAACACCCAGCATCATGGGTTGTATCGAGAGAAAAGCCTTCAGTGTTGTTCTTTGCTCTTCTTTCGATGAAGAAATACTCTCGCAGCAGCTACGCTAACCTCTTCAGCAACAACATCCACTTCTCACACACAACCATCGTTAAACAACGTCCGTAGCTGCCAGTAGCACCTCAAAGGAAGCTGATTGGACCAAGTCACTGTGGTTGGACACAAGCGAGGTTAGGAGTACCACACCTTATTGCCCAATGTCAGCTGGGAAACACTCATGTTATCTTTACAAGGATTAGCAGGTATCGCTGCGAATGCCAAAACTGTTTAACCTCTGTCCACTTTAAACATGTGGATTATAAAATGAATAAAAAAATAAATTAAAAAAACAAGGCTGTTTTTCTGACAATGTTTTTAAAAGTTTGGAGATGGTTGGGTATCAGGATAGAAGTTACACTTTTACAGGTTTAAGAGTTATGTAGAAGTTTTGATGTGTCTTAAACTACCTCCATTTACGACCTTGAACAAAGGAAAGTAGAAAACTGTTGAGTGTTTCCTGGCACTTGTTTTTATTACACTTTACTTCCATCAAACTGATCTCATATTTCACCAAACTGCTCTAATAACTCCTCCTTCACACTTCCTAGTACACCAGCTCCAGCTGTTGTTTGGCTGTAACATAATTGAGATTCCTGTTTGTCTGGTGTTTCATGCAGATGATATTCGGGGAGTGTGAAGGACGGGAGGCCACCTTCGCCCTCTTTCTTCTCCTCTCTTGTTTCTCTCCTTTCATCTTCTCTCCCTCTCTAACGGTCTTCCTTTCATAGTCAATGTCGGCTCTTTGTCCGAGAGGCCCTCGGCTCAGTCGAGCTATCAGATCAGGGATGTTTTCCTTGAAAACCGGCCTGGGTGGGCCGAAGTGGGCCAAACAACTTTTCCTCCCGCCCTGAAACTGATCTGCCAG